GTGTCGTCGGCCGCGTCCTTACGATCTTTCGCTTTCAAGGGGTTCCTATACAAGCTCCTTTTACTCTCCGCACATCCGGTTTCATACAAAAACGTCGGTGTGAGAGTAAGAGAGAGAAGAAGCGCTGCCACCACGCAAATCTTCCGCGAAATCCTAAATGTTACAGAATGCTGGGTTGTGAACAACTCGAGACTCGAACTCGAACTCGCACCTCTTGTTTACTGGGCAAGTGCGCACTTGCCCGCTGAGCATAGAGGTGCGGGTTCTAGTCCCGCCTGGGGCGAAAGTTTTGTTCACAACCCAGCATTCTTGTGAAACATTCGCAAGGCGAACTGCGGCCAAAACAGCAGTTAACAACTTAAAACTAATGTTGCATTGCTGGCTGCACTTTCATCCTTTCAGGTATTTAATATAAACCGATTGGCGAAAAAGGAAAAGCTAGTTTAAATCGCTAGTTGGACTCCTTAGTAGTATCACATAATTTCCCACACATTCGGAAGGCACTCCAATTGTGCACGAAAGGCAATCAAGTACGTGGCGCATCGCTGAAAACGATTGGTCAATTTGCACTCCATCCATTTTCACTTAATGAAATCGAAGGGGCGATGTCAACCTGCAGAAAAGAAGCTTTAGAAACATGGAAATCCTTTTCAAAAATGTTAAGTACTGGGCAGAACACTCGGTCAGCAGTTTCTAGCCCGTTTTTTAGGTTCGACTCCTGGCTGAGACAAAGTTTTGCCAGTAACTTGGCTTTCCTACAATCACTTTCGACTTTGACTGACTTTTAATTTTTCACATGTATCAGGTCAACGCTTGGCATGTTTTTGCTTAGAGCCTTACTGTAGTTCTAGGGTAATCAATTTAGTACCACCCCTTTCTAATTATTCATGGACTTTTTCGCTACTATGGTTGACTTGAAAATGGAAAAAAAGGCTTGTAAATGGGATACTGCAGCACCGGCAGGCAAAGCTCTAGTTAGATATGCCCTGAGCTGATAGCGTTGTTGGAACGGTGTTCGAAGATCCAGGCCAGTAAAGCCTCAGGGCGTATTCGTATATCATCATATTTTATATTGGGTTGTCCAGAAAATCCTGCGACACTTTGCCCAAGATTTTTGATTGCACCTACTTTTGTTGAATGAAATATTCAATCAGCAAGATTATCACCATTATCATATAGGAGACGTACACTTTTCCCGGGCAGCTTCTCAACTCTCTTACTTTAGGATTTCGGCGTTTGCTTTGGAAAGAAGCGATCGATCCCATTTTCGAGTTGACCTCAGTCATCAGATTTTTTATCTTCTAGATGACGCTTCAGGGCACTAATTACCCATAATTAGAAGCGGCTAAGCCCGACGAGTAAGCCAAGCACTGCGAAATTTCCCATTCAAAATCCATGATCTTTTGATACGTAATCCTTTGTCACATGTAGATATGCGTGAGGGTAGGGTAACACAATGTTGTACAATTCTGGGTGAACTTTACGCATGGCTTCGGCCAAATTTCAGAGCTAGTAAGAGCCGACAATGGTCATCACCGCGGTGCAGGTATCCAGTAGCTCTCTGTGAAGAATCAAAATGGAACCTCATCAAAACCACTAAAAAACCCTTCTCTTCGAAGGTTTCTGCAGGCAGCTTCTCTCTCAGTCGAATCCAATAGAGCTTATGTGCACAGTTTCCTCGAGGCTTGAGCTGTCTTCCCTAATCTTCATTTTTGTCAACAGATCCTTTGGGTGCGAAGAAGGAAGAAAAATCTTTACCATCGTCACACACGTCTTCGCTCCCCAGACTGGCGCAACCCATGTGGTACCCATTGCGAACATGCTGCCCTGCAACCAAGAACGTAGGGATTCTCGATAGCTGTCAGTTAGTGCACCTCAGCGTTGTTGCTAACTCACGACTGGTAGCAATCGGCTGCGCCTCTGGGAAGTTGAGTAAATGCTCACCATTCATCACCTACAGCCCAACTAGAGCAGTGCTTTCACTTTTGAGTCAAATATCTCCGTTGGAAAGCCTTAGGGACAACGGGACACCATGGCCTGCTGAACGAGTCATTTTCTGAATACAGTACAGATGCTAGCTTCAACGCATGCAAGCAGAGTGGCTTCATATGAGCTCCTCAGTTCAGAGAGAAGTTTGGTGCCGTAAAACTTTGCTTGCAGCCTTCATGTACGCTTCTGCTGGAACCTTCGAATACACACTACAGTAAATAAATGCCAAAACAGCTGAAAAAAAAAAAAAAAAAAAAAAAACAAAAACAAAAAAAAAATTGCCAAAACTAACTGAAAAGCTGTTTTCGAATTCTCCTCGCATATATTGTTCAGAGTGTCGTGGATTTAATGCGACAACAATTACATTCACAATCTTTCATCCTTGCTATCCGAACCGCATTATTTGATTAGAATACGAAAAGCAGCAACAACGCTCTCACCTCCGCATCTAAATTAACCTACGTCAACCGAGCATCCATCCAGCACGAATGGCCGGAATAATAGATGTACATAATTGTACATCTATTATTCCGGCCATTGGTGCTGGATGGATTGGTTTCCTTCCGACAACGAAAAACACACACGTGAGCTTTAAGTGCATCTGAAGCAAGGGACACAATGTATTTGACGATCTTCGCTCGTTAAACTCTTATCGCATTCGCCTATTTCCCTCCACGGCACCATTGATCAATGACTAATCCATTATCACCTGTTAGTGGGAATGTTTGTCACGGAACACGAGAACAAGCGATCTTTCAATCATGATGTGTGAAGGGTGAAATTGATGAAATTACAGCAACCAATACATTATTTTCTTACACGAATAATAGGTTAAGGGAACAAACAGACTTTCGAAGTGCCAAACATGTGTTAAATGTTCTCCAGCGCAAGTTTTAATTTGAATTCGACAATTCCACACAAAAATGCGAAGAAAATGAAGAAATCCAGTGTAAAAATGTGACATCCATTTTTGGCACTGGTGTGAAAATTGGCGCATTTGACCCGCACAGCCGCCATAAAGATGGATGTCACTTTCGTGATCAGGAACCCTCGATATCCCTGGTGAGGATAACTGGAAACGTATTACCGGAAAATTGGATGCAACGTTTCCGAAATGGAATGCAACGTTTACGTATCGGGGTGGAAAACCCTGTAACTCATTGTATAGATTAGAGCAAGGTGCAATAAATGAATAAATCGGAAGACAAAACAGCCTATTTCTAGATCAACGGAAGAGATAAGGCTGCAGTTTCAATTTCTTTGAAAGGTTACACGTTGTGAGCATCTAGAACTCAGAACTGCATCAATCTATTGGGAGAAACTAGTGAATCAAGAAAAAGCTGTATTCGTTTCGTATTTATAGATGAGAAAGAGAAACTGGACGTTTTGTTCGTGGATTTGGCTGGTCCCGTACATGAATCGGGTCTTAGCTGTCCACCGGCCGTTTTCCTTACCGATCCTGTCCTTTGTAATATGAAGAACTCACTGAAATCAAATGGTTAGTTCTCGGCGGTTTTATGGATAATGTTCAGCACTGTTTGACAGAGTTGTCAATATAATTCAGTGGTTGTTATGTTAATGTTCGATTTTATAGGTGTGATCGCCATGAATCTGGTTACAAGAGATGAAGAAGTGGCGCAGAAGGCCCAAACGTTCTGTGGCCACGCAGTTCCCCGTTTTGTTCAGTATTCGCTCCGAAGAGGATGTTAATGAGGTAAAAAAAAAACCTACGCATGGTTTTCACTCGATGGTTCATCCACAGAAATGTGATGTTATCACAAGATGGTTGCGGCCAAAGCTCGCTGTGGATAGAATGTTTTGAGAAGCATTAAGGGGGGTAGTGAAATCCTGTTTTGTGGGCGAACGTTCGTTTCAAGGCAGCTGTCGTCGATGAGCGATTTGTAACTCTGAACTGTTATTACATTCCGGCCTTAAATTTCCCCAGAGATTCTAGCGTTGTTTCCTTTCTTTTTCAGAAATTTTTGAGCCTTACTTAAAACCGGAGCCATAAATTTACACTGTTACTTGCATAAAATCTGGAAGCCTTCGCAATTCACGAAGACAGCAAAATGAGGATTGAACTTGCAGTCGCGGAGTAGTCGGCCCTTTTCCAGTGACTAGAATGTCTGCTGGAAGAAGTGTTCCATTGCCATACTATCTCGCTGATTGTGTAATGCTGTTAATCAATACCCTGTCTTTTTTGGAATCGGTCTTTTGCTTGATAATAATTTCCCTTTTTGAGTTCACCTCAGATGTTGGTAAAGGTCTTCTTAGTAACAGTTTTTCACGCGGAATCTTGGGCAGGAATAGGGGGGGGGATGATGAAGAAGCGCATGGAAGACGTCGCTGAAAGAACGGGAACAGTTCAGTCGCCAGTTGGTTGGAAATGTACATTTCCAGTAATCAAACCCGCTCAGGTCAAGCAGATAGTTAGAATGAATACAAAACAGTGAGCTAAAATTATTGAATGCGGAAAGAACAAAAATGTACACGGGTGGGAGATGTGTAGGTGTCTGTAGGTGTGGTGGAGGCAAAAAAAATTTCACCTTGCCCATGGGCGCATATCATCGCGACTGTTATATTGTCGCAAAAGAAACCGCTGTTATTGGGATTTATAGGGAGGAACATTCCTTAGATGTCCTTCAGAAGAATAAAGCCCGCCTTTCACCGTCTCCAGAATATGACGTCATCTGTCATCACCGTCGAGCTCAAGGAGGCCTACCATAATCGCTCCATTCTGAAGCTGCTACATAATTCTTCTTCAATCGGATAACTGGTGAATGCTTCTTAGGGACACTAGCTCTGACTATGCAACATGGCTTTTGACGTCGTAATCGTCTATGGTTTCTCGATGATCTCGTTGAGCTCGTACCGTGCACCATGTTTCCGTGGGATTCTCTTGATTTCGGTGTAGAAAGCCCCTATATGTTTTGACAGATACATAGAATGTGCTCTTCAATATGCAATTGAGCTCATTCGGTTTGGTTCTGGCAAAGTGTAATTAATTCTGTTTTGAATGTGAGTGAGAGTGACTTTTTTTTCCCCCCCCCCCTGTAGTTTTGACCTTTTGTGTTTGGGGCTGCGTTCCTCTAGGTGCTGGTTGAGGCAAACTTAAGCTTCCCCCGTGTTCTTCAGTAAGCAAAAAAAAACGCTGCAATAGCATTATTTTTATTATAGCGCAGAAAGATCAGCCCTTGTGTCACCGTCACGGTCATCGAATGTCCTCGCGAGTCGTTCGAGATGAGCTATTGCCCATCAAAGATTCCGACGATTTTACTGGGGAGTGAAATATGGCGCATTATAGAAAAGTTGACAAGATGTTTATTGTTTGTTTTTTGTTGTTTATTTATTATTTGTGTTTCTTTCTTTACTTCTAGATGTCTCTTTACTTTCCTTATGATTATTATATGATCAGGAGAATAATTTCACCTTGATGGTGACGTAATGTTACTCGTTCTTAGCATTGCTGGACTGGCTGGATTCGGATCTTCTCTTTGGAAACCGATTGTGGCGATATTTGAATCAAAGTCCGATATTTCTTTAGGTTTCTTTTGGCCGTGGTCACGACCCGAAATGAGAACTTCAACGCTGTTCAATTTGCTCGTTCTTTACGAAAAGACATCCGTTGGGTGAACGCCCTTGAACCCGTCATCGCGAGGATTACTCCCGTACCTTTACAGTAATTGCCTTCTTTATCTCGTTATTTCCATCGGTTATTGTTATCAGCATAGCTTGCATTCGTAGTTGTTAATTGTTGTCGTTATTGCCTGATTTGATTGAATTTTTACTTGAATAAATATCGCATAATAGTTAATCAGAAACCCCACTTTCGGGGGTTATTTTTAAAGCTGTTCGCTGTGATTTGGCAATGCTTGCTCACCGCCTACACCACTTCGGCAATTTGTATGTGCTTAGACGCTGGCAAACACCTTACCTGCCGCCTCATTGCAACCGGTCGCTGTTGCAAGTCCGATAGTCTCATTTCTGCTCAACGAACTTCATACTCGTCGGCCATCAGTAGGTGCCGGCTGGATTGTTAGCTCACCTTTAGTACTATTTTCGATTGCTAACTGCTGTTATTGGCCTTCGCAGTGCGAAAGTTATCACAAAAAAATTGTGGGGAAAACTTTTCGCCCAGGCTTCAAAACCCGCACCTCTCGCTTTCCGAGCAGTTGTGCTGTTAATTATTTAGTTATCTATTAAAGCTGTGACTTTACCTAAAAATGCTGTAGTTGTGTAGTCGGTATCCCAATTGCCCAAAAAGCCACAAGTGGGGATTTGATTTTCGCCTAAGGAGAAGAGTTTTACCCATAACCCGGCATCCTGTTGAACTTAGCCTAAGTTGCTCCGTTACCGTCGACAGCGTTACCGATCGGCAGCCTCCAGGCTGCTGTGAACCGAAGAGTCGTTCCGGGATTCAAATGGATGGCCAGTAATCATCGCGGTTCATGATCGCTGTTTATTACTGATAGTTCTGTGCCTTTTCCGTGGTGAACTCAGTAATTCGCGCTATAAAAGGAAGGGATGAATTTTTGCGTTGATCCGTCCTTCGTGGAATTTCCCATATATTCCTCTTTTATTTACTAAGAGTCGTAGTGCAATTTGAAGACGAGTTTTCATGCGATACAGCCTCACAGTGATTTGCTGGGAAACCGTAGGAGTGTTCTGTTATCTTCGCAAACGGGCCTAATTCAGTGAAGCTTTGCCAGAATTAGTTGTCAGGCGAGCTCCCATCAGGCATGCCAGCTCGGGCCTGCACACGTTGATGGTTTCTGCTATATTCCGTAACCATTCCAATCAGGAACCTACACCTAGTCCAATGACCAAATAACTGTTCTTGAACATCATTCCTCAAATTGGATAGAGTATTTCCTAAAAGTATAGGCTAGCCCCATTTTCGTCGTCGATATCTCTGGAGAAACAAATGATTATCTTTCAAAATTTCTTTCTGCAATTTTCTGTTAGCGATACCGTGTTGATATAGTGCAAAAATGAAAACAGGTAGGGTCTTTTTTGGCCAGAGAGAGCGTAGTGTTGAAGAGGGCACAGCGATGAGAGTCGCATCAATGCGGAAATCAACGGGCAAGGAAGGGGTCCCATTTCTCGGGTTTCGGGCCGTTTCAAATGGTTTCTTCTTCATCCCTGCTCCACTGACCACCTCTACCCTTATTTCCAATGAGCTAACTTTTCATCGTAAATTCTGCCTTTAATCATCAGCGCTGGCATGCTGAGGGTAAGTTGGGAGATTGCTGGAACGGTACCCGCTCTAGGCCTCTGAGATCGGACTTTTCCTACCCTTGCGAATATTCCACGAAGTCCGGCGCCAGGATGCCGCATATGTTCTAGATTGAATCAAAATCTGACCATATAGGGAGCTAGAATTTCACTCTTCAAACCGCTTGTTTGAGGAGCTCACACGAATAACAGCTTATCGTGCTAAATTTGAAGTACGCGAGTATGATTCGCTGCTTGTTTGGTAATGAAAAGGGAGATTTTCCAGGATTCAGAACGCTCCTTCAAAATCGGCACGAAAAAATGGTGTCGTCAATGCTATACGAAGTTTCTAAATTGTCGACTAAAAAAACTAATTGTGATGTTTCTCTTAAAAGGACGAATTCACGCTGGGAAGGCAACCCATTTCAAATTAACTCAGGGATGGTGAGTGGTACACGAAAGAAGGAAGAACCATGAGAAACGGCCCAGAACCCGAGAAATGGGACCCCTTCCTTCCCCGCTGATTTGCGCATTGATGCGACTCTTATCGCTGTGCCCTCCTCAACATCACGCTCTCTCTGCTATCTAATCAATCCCACGTATAGATCTGCGGCGAGTGATCAGCTGGTCGGTGGGCGGAGATCGCCAGACCCGCCAACTTTGAGGCATAATAGGTCGCCGAGGTCAAATTTTTCGATGCGAATTGCGCATCAGTTCGCACCCTCAGGAGGTCCGTGGGTTACTCAACTAGGTGAATTACTTCTTCCTCGACCTCCATTCTAATCGTGAAATCCTCCTTTAATGAATGTGGCACCAACTTTGCGTTGCGATATTTGGAGCAAAATTGGAAGCCACAATCTAAAATGCAAAAATTTTGCCATTACTAGGAATTCCTTAGAAACTGGACCATTTCTCTTCTGTTTCTGGCCTTTACGGGGCCGCTCAACGGAAATGGACCTCGGTATTGCTGTTACTCAAGTTCCAATCAACATGAAGAAAACTTTCTTAAAAAGCTACCCTACAAAAATCGCCTTGTACGTCGTCACGAGGATGTCCTTGTGAGCACCGGAGTTACATAAAATGTGTGATGCCTCAAACAATGTGATACTCAGCAAATCTGTGTGGGAAAAACGTATCTTCTTCTTTTGATCATCTTTATCTTTATCTTTATCTTCATCAGTTGCCAGAGGTAGAAATAAATGTAGTAATGTGACGTATTAAAAACAATCAACTGACATATAAATTAAATTAGAAAGCGGGAAAAAGGGAGAAATAAGAAAAAATTGGAAGCAACAAAAACAACTTAATCAGGGGCCCCGAAATGACAATTGAGGCACACTTCCTTCTGTTATATCATATTGCCCATCAGTAATAAGGGCTCTTTGAAGAAGTAGTATGGGGAAAAAGGTTACTGAACAAAAACATGTGCACACTACTGTTCGTATGAATGTTGACAAGTGAACGACAAGTGGATGGTGCTAGGGATAACACCACTCGACACGGGCACAGGGGCACGCATGCCGAACCTGGGACCAGATTTTCGGATGTTAGGTATTCCCTACCCCTAACAATCCGGCCCCAGGCCCACTATTAAGTAGGCAGTCAGTGTAGCACACGTGCGGTTCAGTAAGATGGGGTTGAGCAATCTATCTGACAGCAAAGAGCTATCATGCAGGAATAAGGACCAAATGTCAACTTGGAGAAGGAAGGGTCCTCAACAGGAGTAACAGGAGCAACCAGAAACGCCAGAAAATTATACAATAGATTATTTGAACAGGACACAAGCAGATATTGTCGTAAGAAATTTTGCCGTGAAACACGTAAGACTGCTAGTCGATGAAGCGACAGATTGGAGCGAGTCCAATAGAAACAGCCTATTCCCCCATTGCGCTTCAGATATCCAGTCGATATTTGAACACATTCGCTATAGCTTTCTTAAACGCAGAAGCATTCCTGAATTTGAAGAAGTCTTCACTTAAGTCATTCCAAGGAAGAACAACTCGACAAGAGAACGAACCTTTATATGACGCTGTAACAGAGCTGTCGAGGCAGAGCCTATAGGGATGGCCTCTCGTGACACCATTGAACGGAGAGACACGAAATATGTCAGAAAGTTTCAAATCTACTTCACCCGATATTATTTTAAATATAAAGCCAAAATCAGCGATCTTTCTTCGATCCTCTAATGTAAGGGCATTAAGGCGAGCGAGTCGATTTTCGTATGACATTCTAAATACTCCTTTTCGACGAAAAATTCTATACGTGAAACGCTTTTGCACTTGCTCAACTTGGTCAATGAGGCACGCTTTATAAGGGGACCACGTGGAGGAGCAGTATTCAAGAAGAGGCCTCACATAAACAGCGAAGAGCTTGAACAGAAGAACATAGGGTCACGGGTTTGAAAGGCACGCAAGATAAAGTTGGACCTAGAAGAGGCCCTAGCCACAATATCAGATATAAAGCATTCGAAATCAAGGCTGTCACTATAAGTGACACCGAGATCGCGAATGCAGTGTGACTGCTTAAGGATGGAGCCACTAAGTTCAAATTTGACATCGGGATGACTTTTCCCAAGGCACATAACAGTAGTTTTCTCTCTCGATATATCAAGTCCCCACCTTTGCGCCCAGCTATCGAGGGCGTTAAGACCGTCCTGAAGAAGCTCAGCGTTATTGATGGTGAATAGCTTAGAGTCATCAGCATACATAGTTATAGAGACACCTGGTGGGAGGACAGATGGCAAGTCGTTTACGTATAAAAGGAACATGAGAGGACCAATACAACTACCCTGATGGTTTCTTTTCAAGTTATCGATGCCGCTCGGATTTGACTTCTTTGCCTTCCAAAAAAATTACTTCCACTACTGCTTTTAGCACCATGTGAAGAGAACATCAGTGTGAATCTCCCCACCTCGTCTGCTTACGTACCGATTTAGAAAAAAGACAGAGGACTTATGAAGTGCAGCGCCATATGTACCATGTACAGTTCTACATGCACAGTACATATACCGTGAACAAGAAGTGCCTTTGTACAATGGGGGACATGACTTAAGCACACGGGGATGAAAGTATTCGTTTGATAGAAACATATAAGGGGGGGACTTAAAAAAAAGACTTTAAACATTATAAGACTTCCTTGCTGTGGATCTACTCCTCTGCCTTTCAGAGATGGTTTTCGATTTTCTGATTCTCGCGATTCTTGTCTAAGAGTCCATATTGGAGCTGAAAAATCTGATCGAGCTGGGAAATCATCCTACGTTTCTTCAAAGGCTAGTAACTGCCATATCCTTATCAGCCTGAAGTTAATCTTTTTTTACTGCTATAATTTCACTGCTCTAACTGCGTTTCGCCTAGCCTAGCCTCAAAGCAACATTCCCAGCAGGCTTTTTTTCCCTCAACTAATGGGTGTGAACGACGCGCTAGCCCTAAAAAAAGTGTGACTGAACGAAAAACTCACCTTGTAAAGCCGC